GAGGCGATTCTGAAAAAGAAACAGCAACAAGGGAAGGTGAGTCGAGAGTCATTTTTCTGCATGTTATAATACGTTTATCACACACTGAAAACAGGCATAGTTTTGATAAATGAGGGTGTTAAGATGCAGCTATTTGCTATATACTGTATAACATCTAATCCACAAATACCCCTCACTTAACCCTGCTGAAAAATCCAGCTTAAAACAGCCTAGGCTGGTTTAAGCTGGATTTTTCAGCAGGGAACCAGCAAACAAAGTACCACAGGACTACCCCCAAACCCCAAACCAGCACCCAGGCAGAACCAGGCCCAGGTTACCATGGCAACACAGAAATTGTAAGGTTTACAGCAGAGTTGAATGTCCATTTTTAACTCTAAGCTTACTTGAAAATAGACAAATTCTCCCTTTTCTTGATATACAGTGGGGAAATATCTGGTGAAAATTAATTAGATATTAGATACTTCCATACTATATAGTACACTAAAATCAGTATGCAAGCCGAGTACTACGTCTGAATTCATAGAATTCGAAAATCAGAATGCGAGAAGTACCCGGATGACTTACTACTTTCAGCGAGATTCTGAAATGCGCATCCAATGCACGCTGCGCTATCCCATGATGCCCTGCGAGAGAATTCATGAAGCGACGCAACTGACGCCGGTAGGTCACGTGACCATGGCAAAATGGCAGGTGTAGTACGTCCGAATTCCATTCATACTTTTCACATTCATACTTTATAGAACGTACTTTTCCAACGGCCGAGTAGTACGTTTAAATTCAGTTGCAGTACCTACTGGGTAGTAGGCGGTTTCGGACGCAGCCATTGTTTTGCTGAAATGAGATTTTAGCTGCTGTTTGGGCTTTCACTGCATTACTACACCTTACTTTTGGCAGCACCCAAGAGGCAGAACTTCTGCAAAAAGTTGAACTTCTGGACTTGCTAAAGGAAGGTACAAGTTATAGGGCGTCATTACCTAATAAATTAGTTGAAGATCAAATAGTTTTGGTCTTCGAGTTCATTCTATAATACTGGCCTTATTTTAATATAAAAGTTTGAACTTTGAGAGTGTTTAAACAAGGGAGAAAGTGTGAAAACGTTAATGTCTGTCTGAGAAATGTGTATAAAGTATGTAGTGGAGGGTAGGGTTGTAACGTATGTGTATGAATTTTTCACGGTATGATAATCGTCTAAAACAATACCACGGTTTGACGGTTTCACGGTATACGGTATGTTACAAATGTTACAAAATAATAGAACAGTGAAGCAAATTTGACTTTTTCCAAATAATATATTTTTAGTTACTATAAACAACTCCACTTACAATGAACAAATAAAAAATAAGAAAATAATAAATAATGTGTCAAAGTCCAAATAAACATGGTGCAAATCCTCAGTAAAAAATAGATATAAATATTTACTATACTATAAATAGTTACATAACGAAACTAGATTCAATATGGAACATCTTTAGGTTTTATGTGCCAGCATGGATATGGTTGTCTATCGATATGGATATGGATATGGTTGTCTGCAATGCAGACAAACAGCTGCACCTTCATTTGTGTCTTTTGAAAACAGCAAGAGCAGCAGTTCGTCTTTGCTGCGTCTCTGTTTTGTCATGTTTCTGTGCTGCTGTGCATGCAAAAGTACTTAGTATGAGAATTATTTCATGCAAAACTTTTTTTTTTGCATTTTATTTAGCCGCACATAAATGTATGCCTATCTCTCATTCCGTGTTGTTCAAAAAGCTCATTGTTGGTCCACAAACAAAAGCAAAACCTATGCTTATTGGTTGTGATATAGCGAGTTTGAACCAATCTGGGCATGGAGGAGGGACAATGCATCAATGTATCATGTCTGGTTTGTCCAGAGACACAGTGACGAGCGTTTCTTTGTCAAATCAGCGTTGTCAAATTTTGATGACGTAACCGCACTGATTCCGGAGCCTTTGAAAGTCCGCGAATGTTATGTGATACAGCACTGGAAAGCTGAGATTCTCTTCTTTATGCTAATCTTTGAATTGTATGAATAGGATCAGCGGATCAAAAGTTATTAAACATTTAAGAGCAATACTTTTTTTTAGCCGCGGGCGGCTGTCTCGGTCTTTAAGGGTTAAAACCGTTGATATGCAATTGTTCATGGTATGATAATCGTGCACGTTCAAATCGTGGTAAACCGTCTATTGTTACAACCCTAGTGGAGGGTTTTACAGCCTTAAAACATCAATAATAATTGTAAAAAATAAAGCTGACAACTAATTTTATTTTTTTATCCTGCAAATAACGAGGGACCACTGTCTGTTGATACCTGTGTAACATTATAATTATTAACAATTATAGCAGAATGTACGCTTTCTTATTTTCTCAATCGCTTGACCCTGAGGTGTGTGATATAACACTTCACGGATCACATTGTCACAGGCGCTGGAAGTCAGGAATTACAGGAGATTATGACGACCCATAAACAGCAACAGCAACACCAACAACAACGCACAATAAAAACGACCAAAATACACATACAGCTGCCATTAAAAATCTATTTCATCTCAAACCTCAATTTCAGACTGCATCAGGTGTAATACATTTCAAATGTAGTTCAACTGCAATAAGTAAATGTTGAAAATGCTTGAAGAATTTAGACAAAATATTTAATTGAAACGATGTAATTATCTGGTTTCATTTATCAGTAGTTCCTTTCATGTGCTTTCACTGAAAAAATGACATCTTACTTGTGTGTCTTTGTTTACATTTTGTTTTTTGTGCATGGGCTCCATTTGTTGCTTTGGCTCAAAGGAAAACAGCGAGATGACATTGACTGCTCAAAGTCACATAATTCAGTGAAAAAAGAAAAAAGTTTGACCCCTAAATCAAATAATGACTAATGAAGTCCTGTCAACGGGTTATAATGTTAAATATGCACATGAGAGTTTTATTTTTAGCAAGAAAAGAGCACAACTTCAGTCAGATGTTCACAACGGACTTCACACAAATGTTCATTCAGGTTAACATGATTGAAAATAGGATTGGAATATAATCAGATCTGCAATAGTCACATCACACAATATGCAATGTTCAGTCTGAATTGAAGTAGATCAGATGCTACAGAATTGCATTTAATTACTGTATTTATGGGGATTTTATATGATTTATGCGATAACAAAATGTCTTTGTCATGTTTCTAGTCCAAATATCTACATTTCTACACATCTACACATTCTACAAAGTGAAAACACGATTTTAATAAAGGTTTTAATTACCCTTCTGGCAGATAATCTAACTTGTTTTAAGGTGGGAGGGATCGGAAGTTGATTACAAAACTACATTTTACTTGTTCTAAGATATTTTTATATATTTCAACTAGAAAGATGACAAAGCAAAGTAAGAAAAGCATGTTTGCATTGTGATTATTTCATTTCTGTACCTGAATACTAACAGTAAAAAAAAATAAAAAATAACGCTATAGGTTCCACACAATTCCTTCATGTTGTCCTAACACAGACTAATTAAGTTAACTTAATTGTTTTTACAAATTGAAGTGGATTGAACATAAAACAATTAGGTTGTCCCCCCAAAAAAACCAACCCAAGCTCAAACGTACGTTCTGGAAACGTAGCCCCGCGGACGTTTCTGGAGACCGCGATTTACGTGGCCGGAGGTACGTAAAGGCCGCGTTTGTTTTTTTTTCGAGCGAACGCTGCGGGGCGGTGTGGCGCCACTCCGCCCCTCCTCTTCGCGCTCGCCGGCCGACGGCTCGCCTCCGAGTGGAGGGCTTTCCTGATGCAATCAGTTTGTCCGCTTAGCTCACAGCGTTGCGTTGGCAGAGCGGAAGCCCCGGAGGAGGAGCCGGAGCCGGCCGCGGTGGACGACGACCGGGATCGAGTCCGGGGAACAGCAGGTTCCGGAAATCAGGTAAGACGAAAAACGGAATCTGAAAAATAAGGGCGAGAATGCGGCGGGATCCGAAAACGCGGTCGAAATCGAAGACGAGGGCTTTTGCTTTTTTTTTTTTTTTCGATCCGGCGGCTTTTCGCGCGAGAACGGCGAGAGGTGCCCGAGACGCGAAAAAGCGCGCACAGTGGCCTCTCGCGGATCCGCGAAAACAAAAAAACGCTCGAATACGTACCTCTCGGGACGTAATCGCGGTCCACAGAAACGTCCGCGGGTCTACATTTCCACAATGAGCCCGGGTTGAAAAAAACTCAACTAGTAGTTAGAACAAGCAACAAGTAGATAAATAAAATATTGCAATATCAGATTTATCCAATATCTTGCAGCCCTGATTGGAAAACTGTAATCATGCTCCTTTTGAACATTGTGCCTGTCGATGAACTAAGAGTTTACAGCATGCCTTAATGTCATTAATTAATAATATAAAACACATCAACATGGACTCTGACCAGCCAGGAAACAGTCTCACAAC